AGGTGACATAGATACTTTATTATGGTATAGTATTTAAATGTATGCCTGAGAAACACATAATATTGGCCCTTTAGTATATCTAGTCTTGAGTACAAAACATTTAGTAGGTTTGAGTCAGAGCTTAGGCCGAAATTCCTGTGAAAATCAGGAACAAGGGCACAAACTGAGAAAAARCAGCCAAACTTCTGTTTCTAAATGTAAAGGAAAGAGAGGCAGCTCAAGAATTTTGCACAAGTTCAAAGTACACAAAGCGGATGTAAAACAATGTTAAATTCACGATTCATGTCCATGATGACGAGGTGWAAACGGTTGATCATGCAGGGAAATCGGCAGCGACTGACCACTGCTGCTGATTGTCCTCAGAGCTTTAGGACGGCTTTAAAAAAAAAAAGTCAGAACAGACAGAGACGTCATCCCCTCAAACAGCAAAACATGGATGTATGTAATCKGAACTGTTTCTTCATGTTTAGTCTGCAGCTGTGAGCACAGACAGCCGCAAATGTGACAGATTAATTCATGTGTTGTGACTGAGGTGTTGGATCAGGCTTAACGACCAATCAAAGAGCCATGCTGCATGCCAAGCAGTCACAGAGTCGTACTCACTGCACTGATGAAAGGCAGGTTCAGGATTGAGCCCAGRACCGGTATTCTTCTGATGAAACCTACCACAACTGGGAAAAAACCCCTGCAGGTGGAGACAGGAGAGAGAGAGTCACAAACAACCCAACAAAACCAAGGACACCTGCACCTTTAGCAGCAGGTAGCTTTTAACTCTAAACCAAATCATGTTGAAGARGACACAATATTTGACTTATTGTCTGAATTGTCCATCAAGTTTTGCAACTTGCTGTTTTGCTTCCTCATACCTGAAGAGAAGAAAAAAACCATAAATTTCCAGGACGACTCCGATGATGGGCCACCCAATAAGCACCACAAACACCCCCCCTAAGAAAAACCCGGTGGCCTTCATCTTGTGCTTCTGGAAGAARAAACGGAAAGTCCTCTCTAGTCCAATGACGAAGGCCAGTCCAGCCACAAACAGGATCTACAGAGGAAGAGGAAGGTGGTGCAGAGTTACTGCCTGTTTCTAAATTTACAGCCTCAGATCATTTTTGGGTTTGATGCAACAAGTTTGGCACACCTGGATTGGGAGATTTTTTTTGCCAAAACTATGGTTAAAAGAACCAAATCAGTCATCAAACAGATACAAGTCTGGCCTGACACAAACAAAGAACAACTCTCAGACTGTTCTGACAACACTAACTGGGATGTTTTCTTTCGAACATGTCTAGATTGGTGCTGCACAAACGATTATTTTTATAATCGACTAATCACAGATTATTTTTTCGATTAGTCGACTAATTGGATCATACGTCAATTGAATATAAAACATACAGCTTATCACGCCAGAATGCAGCTGCTATTATATAACCATCGTTAGGTTTTAGAAATATGCCAACTAAAAATAATTGCTGTGGAAGGCAAGGTCTGCTCTGCAGATATTACACAGGTTTCTCTTTCATTTTCTTAAAATGATCCCACACTTTTTAGCTCTGTTGCCAGGTAGGCATGATACCAGAGCCTGTCTGTATAATGTCTTGTGAC